GGGAACTACCAAAAAAATGGATTCGAAAGAGCCATCCATTTGCTAACTACATGATCTGACTTCTTCCTGTCTCTCCAACCATTCTGTCCTTTCCTAGCTCTATTTCAGCCATGTTATCTATTTTGTTTTATGAATCCATTAAAGATTGTTTCTGCTTTAGGATCTTTTAAAATTGCTGTCCCTCTGCCTGAAAGACAGGTTTTTCCTGACCACCCCTTGCCAAGGGTATGCTGCAGCCCGCTAGCTCGTACCAGCTCATGAGAGCCAATTACGTGCATCTCTCCCCAAAACCACATTCAGTGACTTCACATTAGTGGTTTGAAATTAGCATGTGTAAGTATTTGCACCACAGAAATTGGCAAAGACTATAAATCAGTATATATGTTTTTTAATTCTGGAGAGCCTGCTTACCAGCACCCTAAAGATCTTACTGAAAGTTGTCTGTCCTTCCCATCCCCAGTCATAATCTATCCCAGTACATTGTTCATTTTCTTCACGGAACTTATCACTTTTTTTTTTTTTTTTTTTTTGCGGTACGCGGGCCTCTCACTGTTGTGGCCTCTCCCGTTGCGGAGCACAGGCTCCGGACGCACAGGCTCAGCGGCCATGGCTCACGGGCCCCGCCGCTCCCCGGCATGTGGGATCTTCCTGGACCGGGGCACGAACCCGTGTCCCCTGCATCGGCAGGCGGACTCTCAACCGCTGCGCCACCAGGGGAGACCTCATTGCATTATATATTTTTAATGTTCACATTATCCCAATTTTAGCCAGTGGGAACCCCTTCAGATTGGCTCTTCTGTCCTTTGACATGACTCAGTTATTTTGATAGCTTGTTGGCTATTTCCCAAGCTCATCTTACATATTTAAGGTTATAGGACTTTAAATTAATTTCTTTAATTTTTGTATTGACCTCTGTTTCTTCAATATTGAAAATCTTAGGGTTTTAGGGGGGGGTTTGTTTTTGGACCGCACCGCGCGGCGTTCGGGATCTTAGTTCCCCAACCAGGAATCGAGCCCGTGCCCTCTACAGTGGAAGCGCGGAAACTTAACTGGTGTACCACCAGCGAGGTCCCTAAAATCTTAGTTTTTAATGACATTTACACAATTTTAAAATTTTACTCTTTCTCTTCTGCCAGGCAATTAGAACTATGTAACTTTTACAATAAAGAACCAAAGTTAAGAAAGCACTCAAACAGAAACTCTACTGTTTTAGGGAACCCAATCTCACTGTCTTTTTTTTTTCCTCATAGTGGGTTCACCAGATTCTTGTGGGGTGCCTCTTTTAACATAAAAAGATAGGTGGCGATTGTTTGTACAAAAATGTCATTTATAAAAGGTCAGATAGCCCTGAAGGCAGAGGGCTTTTATTGTCATTATCCACAGCAACAGTGTGGAAAGTAGCCCTTGTCTAACACAGTGTTGTACACTGAGTAGGTACTCAGTGACTATTTTTTTTTCATCCTAGATTTGGGTGACATTAAGAGTAGGGTCTCTCTAGGCTAGGATCTTAAACGAATAGTGTTTCTAGAGGTCTTCATATTGTTAAGAAAAGGAATGACCCATGTTTACTTCTTAGAAATTTGCTTTTGCTCCTGTTCAAGAGGGAGTCCCATTCTCCAAGCAATGCTGATTGAGTTCTGCCATTCTCAGATGAAAATCTGAATATGAAAATGGGTTCTGTTATTACAGGGGGAACATGCAGTTATTTGGTGCTGATGCGTCTTCAGTACCAATGAGAAACTAACTTGATTTACATTTTTTTCCAGATGATGGACATAAGAAAGCTCGAAATGCTTACCTTAACAATTCCAATTATGAAGAAGGAGATGAATATTTTGATAAAAATTTGGCACTCTTTGAGGTAATATTTGGGAGAAAACTAGGGCAGAGATTTCAGGAACAGAAATTTCTAGATCGCTGTTTTCCACCCCATTTAGTTTTAAAACAGTACAGGTTGGATAATTTAATAACTAACTGTTAAAATACAGTACTTACTATAGCTTGTCATTGCAGTTGATTTAATCTATATAATCTAATTATTGCTAATTAATGAATAACCATTGAGTCAAATTTCTATGAAATAAAGAGGAATGTTGACATCACAGGCATGTGGAGAACCTTGCTGTCTAATTTAACTAGTATTTAAATCTCTGTGTTGTAATAATCTACTAAGTACAAAATTTTTCAACTCTGTGTTTGGGATGAATGTCATTTACCTTAGAACTACTAACCAAAAATAAGGGTGGGAAGCAGACTGCTGGATTAAGAGGACCTGAATGTCTCATCCGACTAAGGTAGCATGGACTCTGAGGGGATCTGTGTCCTGGTTGTTGAAAGGAGCCTGGTTTAGTCCAGCACTGCATTATCTTACTTTGGACAGTGATTCAAGTGCCACTTTCCTCATTGTTCCTATTTTTTAAATGATATTTTCTCTTAACTTTCTTCAAGAAAAGGTCTGAGGTGAATATTCGGCTCAGTCATTTTCATTGACCTGTCCATGCTTGGTGCTATAAATAATAGCTATAAATGTTAGTAGACTGTTAGTAGTACTGTAGTTAAAGATTATGTTATCAGTGTTCTTTATGAGGTTACAGTTGTTTGTAGGGGCCAGTGTGGTTTTGTGTTTTCTGTAAAGTTAAGCTATTCGAAAGAATCATAAAGCTTTTCATTTAAGAATTTTATAAGAATGTGTGTAGCCCTGATTACATATTATAATATGGGGGGAGAATAAAGTCTCATTGATAAATTTTCTTAAAATGTTTACCTGTGAAATTTTTTCTTATTTACTTTGCAGTTTTCTGGGAGAGGGATCATTTTGATGCTTATTCCCAGTGTTCTTCAGTATTTCTTTCTTATTTCTGGCTCTATAGGAAGAGATGGACACCAGACCAAAGGTGTCTTCTCTCCTCAGCCGCTTGGCCAATTACACTAACCTGACGCAAGGAGCAAAGGAACATGAAGAGGCAGAGAACATCACTGAAGGGAAAAAGAAGCCCACCAAGGTGAGGCCTTGGAATAACAAGGACAAATAAAAAGAGCCCCGTATACAAGAAAGGAGGAAATGTCCAGGGCATCACTCTGTGCTCAAGAACTATTGAACGCTTGGTATATGCCAGGCACATGAGGGAGTGAGCTGTGTTATTAGTAGCTGGGAGACAGGCATTCCAGGGAGAGGGAATAGCACTTCAAAAGAAAAGTGTCCACACCCATCTACTGATGCCATCTTTCTGTTGTGAAGCTGTTGGGTTTTTCAAAGACCAAATATCAGTTTTTCTCAACATGAAAATATGGAAGAAGATTACAAGTAAGCTTTCTGGTTGTTCAGGAGTAAAACGACTCTCAGATGTATTTTATCAATTACGTTTACCAACTACTATGAAAGATTTATGCCAAATTCTGAAGGAATTCCATCAAATCATTATCCTTTTTTTTTTTTTTTAAGAAGAACAGAAAATTTTAAGTTGTTGGGGATGCACTTAAAAGTTTATTTGTGATCAGATGCTTATGTAAAAATATGTGGAGAGCTATGTAAAGTTAAAATGTATATCTCTAGGAATAATAAAAAGTATGGTGATAAACATTTGTTAAGATGGAGATTTTATATGTGCCTATTTAAAAATACTGCTTAAACATATCATCTCTGCTTTGCAATTAAAATGATAGGGTACAAGTTTTTATATAAAAGTAAAGGGATGAATCATCTCTTCTAGATGACTACATGATTTTTTTCTTTTGTCAACATCTTTCTTTCCAGACCCCCCAAATGGGTACTTTCATGGGTGTTTACCTCCCATGTCTACAAAATATTTTTGGAGTGATCCTGTTTCTACGCCTTACATGGGTGGTGGGCACAGCTGGAGTTCTGCAGGCCTTTGCAATTGTCCTTATCTGCTGCTGCTGTGTAAGTCCTGAGTTGGCCCCTGAAGATCACCTGGAACATTGCAAGAGCTCAAGAGTATCATGCTTAACCTATTTGGGCATAAAAGAAAGAATACGTACTGGGGAAAGACTCATGATCTCAACAGGGGAGATTATTTTGATACTAAAATCTAAACAATTTTCAGTTATTTAGTGTCAGTTATTCACTGCTTATATCTGTAATATGATGTACTCAAAATTACAAGGAAAGACTTCTGTAGGAAGTAGAAGATACAGTCCCTGACTTCAGAAAATTCAGAATACAAACCATTTGAACTCGATAACACTAGTGTTGTGACAGAAAATATGTTAGAAAATGTGATGTGCTACTCCAGTGTGGTACCAATAAACAAAGCTGGTTGTTGTTTGGGGGTAAGAGGTATTCGTTTTGTTCTGCAGTATCATCCGTTATCCCTTCCCCAGAAATTGGGGTGTTCTTTCCAGTTCTTCTCTCCATTATACTGAGAATGTTCTGGTCTTCCTTTAATTTAAACTCCTTATCTGTGTATCTCAGCCACATCTCTCAATTTTATTGTAAGTTGATAGATTATTATAAAAATTTTAATTTTATTATTAAGCCATCTATGGACCTCTTTTATTACTATCACCATTATAACACTCCCTGTGCTCAACTGAGTGCCATGTAAAGCAGGGTAAGCGGACATAGTCCATATCATTAATAACTTAATGGTACCACCATTTTTTCCCCCCGTTTCTTAGTCTTGAAACTTCAGGGCCGTATTTGGCTCCTTGATTGCCTCTCATATCTCATCAGCTATCAAGGCCAGTCAGGTCTCCCTCTGAAATCTCTTTTGTTCAACGCTGTCTTTATATTCCCACTTCTACCACTGCAGTCCTTACCTCTCACTGAACTACCACAATAGCCTACTAACAAGTCACTCTGCCTCCATCTACTTCCTATCTTCAGTCCATTCTGTACTCTGCTGCTATCAGGTAATGTTTTAAAAATACAGTTCTCATGACCTCAGAAGTCTTCAGTGGTTCCCCTTCTTACTGAATATTATTCTTGTTATTGTAGCCAGTCTTTAGTCAGTTTCCAATCTGTTTACCAAGTTTTTAACTAGGAGACCAGGGTGAGATCAGTGGTTCTTAATAGCACCTAACCTACTGATTAAGATGTAGGAGCGTTTTAACAGAGTACTCAAGATACCAGTAGTGTGACCAGTGTAGCGTGTTGAAGCACATCTCATTTGCATACCATTTGGTATGACAGGCAACTCCCTCCATAAAAGTAGGTAGAATTAAATATTTGATAAGTGCCCTGAGGTCCACAGATGGGAAAGTAGTACAGAAATGTCATCTTTATACATTAACAGTCTTCTCCTTTCTCTTTCTTTACAGACAATGTTGACTGCTATCTCCATGAGTGCCATTGCCACTAATGGAGTGGTGCCAGGTCAGTAGCTAAGGCTGGATTTCAGGGATTGTCATTGATTACTGTATGTTTCTGCTATAAAGCCAGAGGTGCAAACTTCCAAGGAACAGAATACTATTTAGTTAGTGGCCACAGGCACTAACACTATTTGACTTCAGAATACCTTCTTTTAAAAATCTCTGTATGTTTTAAGCTAGAATCCATAATTTCTACTGCATTCTTAGCTTCTTTTAGTTAGAATATATATTTTATTCATCTATCTCATGCCTGTAGTAAGTATCCTCTGATATTTTTCTAAGTAATACAAATTGTGCTGATTTATGTGGAACATTAGATGTGCAGTATGTAGGTTTCATCTTTTACTACCTACCAGGAAATTTACTTTTTATCATATTCAGCGTTTTCAAAAAGCCTGAAACATTTATCCTTTTTTACGACTTGTTTACATTCCTGTTACTTACATACTTTTTTTTATCCTGTTCATCTTCTGTTTTGCCTTTTAGCTGGGGGCTCATACTTTATGATTTCCCGAGCACTGGGCCCAGAGTTTGGTGGGGCTGTTGGCCTCTGCTTTTATCTTGGTACCACATTTGCAGCAGCCATGTATATCCTTGGTGCCATTGAAATTTTTCTGGTGAGTAATGACTTAATTGTGGTCTAAAGTATAGAAAAGATATAGATATGGATTTATTTTGCCATTGGATATCAAAGCTTCTGAGAAATCAGCTACAGGAATCAATCAAGTGATTGACTGCTAACCTGTTATTGACCTCGTACTATGAATATGAGTAAAAAAGGTTGAGGGTATCTTTTGCCTGCCTACTCCTTCCCCTCCACCCAATCACCAGCACCCTGCCACCTCAACCAAAAAGTTAAAGTCTCAGAGGCAAGACTTGGGCTAGTGGGGGAAAAGTAAAAGAAAGTTTATCTCTTTTGATGTCTTTATCCCAATGAAACAAAATGTTTTTTCATTTATTTATTCACTTGGATATATTTCTTACTATTTAAAGTAACGATAGCAGAAGTAGGACTCAAGATAATCATTACAATTATTTTGTATAACACTTTAAATAAATTATTAACACATTCCTTGTTTTTCCATTTGGGAGTGTAAGTATTCAGAATGGCTCATAGACTTTATTTTATTTATTTATTTATTTATAAATTTTTGCCTGTGTTGGGTCTTAGTTGCAGTGCGCGGGCTTCTCATTGCGGTGGCTTCTCTTGTTGCGGAGCACAGGCTCTAGGCACGCGGGCTTCAGTAGTTGTGCCACGTGAGCTCAGTAGTTGTGGCTCCTGGGCTCTAGAGCGCAGGCTCAGTAGTTGTGGCGCACGGGCTTAGTTGCTTCGCGGCATTTGGGATCTTCCCGGACCAGGGCTTGAACTCATGTCCCCTGCATTAGCAGGCTGATTCTTAACCACTGCACCACCAGGGAAGCCCTGACATGTAGACTTTAAAAAGAATCCATGATGTCCCATTTATGTAGGCATTTTAGATCGAAATATGAATTAGGCTATGTCTCCCGTCATTTTCTGTCTCAGTTTTGCTTTCCTTCGTGAAAGTAAATGCAAACTACGACAGCCCTTTTATTTGATTATTTTGAAATGACCTTATTTTCTGCTTCTTTTGCCTAACAGGTATATATTGTCCCCCAAGCTGCCATCTTTCATAGTGACGATGCACTCAAGGAGTCAGCAGCCATGCTAAATAACATGCGTGTCTATGGCACAGCCTTCCTGGTCCTCATGGTATTGGTGGTATTCATCGGTGTACGCTATGTGAACAAGTTTGCCTCACTCTTTCTGGCCTGTGTCATTGTGTCCATCTTGGCCATCTATGCTGGAGCCATCAAGTCTTCTTTTGCCCCTCCACACTTCCCGTACGTGTCTCTCTGACTAGCCATCATTATTTGGTAGTCATTAACAGTATCTGGTGATGTGATCATTTCAAGTCAGAGTCTCACAGTTTCTCTGAGATTTCCCTCTTGGATAAGCCCAGTTAGCATCTGTGCGGGAAGCCTCCCAGCAAATTGTGTTGTGTTGATCCTCTTCCTTGTGTCCCAAGTATACAACTGGCAGCCATGGCCATCATTTGGATATAGATAGTGGGTTTTTCAAAACCTCCTGATAATGATTATGCATATTTGAACTATTCATAAAGGCCTTTTCAAACAGCGTAGTTTTGCCAGCAACCTTTATAAAGTATTTAAAGGTTAGATTCCTTTTATTGATGAAGAATCAAGAGATCAAGGAAACCTAGATTCCTACCTAAATATTTATAATTAAATTTTTTTGTTCTGCTGTTAGTACAGTAATGGACTTTCTAGTCATAAAATAAAGGGAAATAAAGGTCACATCTTTTGCATATATATCTTTCTATATATATATATATATTATATTACATACCATAAGTAGTACAGGTACCTTAAGGTATATTTTTTTCAGTTAGCAATAATCGCGCCTCGGATAAACCTCATTGGCTACGATACTGCCACTGCGCAAAGCTAAGGTATATATTTTGAAGTAGAAATGGATTTGTACAGATGCGTGACTCACAGGCTCACCTGTTTTCCATTTGACTAGTGGCCTAGGGACTAGACGGCACTGAGTGTTGTTTGTCACCTTATTACAGTGACTGTATTTGAAGAGTCATCCTGATCACTCAGGGCTCAAACTCATCAGTCTTATGTTGATTTAACCTGATTACAGAAAAATAGATTTTTGAAGATGAAAAAACAGGTCCATAGAGGTTAAATGACCTTCCCCAAAGTTAATAATTGTCAGAGCAAGAAAATGGATCCTGTGATTTCCTGATTCCCAGTTCAGTGTTTCTTCTGCTATGCTAAATGATGTCAGTAATAGATTCCATCAAAAATTTTCAGTCTGCTTGTCTAGGGGCTGCCAAGCAACTGAAGACCCACTTGAAGGCTACATTCTGCCTATATCTTAACTTGGGAAATTCCATTTTGCCTCAAGTTCTCCTTTGATGCTTTTCCTCTTTTTTGGTGGGCAAAAGTTCATGATGTGTGGTATTTTCGTTAAAATATTTCAGCAGAACAAGCCAAAAAACCTAGAGGAATGCATGAAACAGTACTGGGAAATGTTGAGAGTTGTTGAAGCTGAGTAGTGGGTACATGGCTTATTGCATATGTATGCTATCATTTTGCAGATTTGAAAAGTTGCTTTTTTCCTCCTGAGAGGTATTTTTAACTGTGGGTGTATTATTCCTTTATTCATATTTATATCTCTGGGTGAATGAAAAAAAATAAAATCAGCAGTTTGTATTTGTATTATCCTTAACTACCCTCACCCCTACTGGGTCTGGGCTTAAGTTCAAAAACAGTTTTTTATTAGGCCATAGACGGATGGCCTAATTCTAGCCAAGCTGTCTTCCTTGAAACAGAAGACAGAAGCTCTGACCTTTAGCATAACATTTTCAAGGGAGTTGTTATGAACATAAGGCTTTTTCTTAGGCCAAAGAGAAAGGGGTGGATTTGTGTGTGTGTGTGTGTGTGTGTGTGTGTGTGTGTGTGTGTGTGTATGGAAGAAGAACAAATGGACTCTAAGATTCTTTTCAGACCTAACAGTTGGTTAATAACCTAAAAATTCTGGAAGATGACTCAGCACAGCGTCTTCAGACAGTTCTTCTGATTGAATTCTGTCACTACTGCCTACCACCTGTATGACCTCGGGCAGACTCCTTTTTCTCCCTAAAGTTCAGTTCCTCCATCCACAATGTAGAAATACTAGTACATATTTTGTGAGATCACTGTAAGGGTTACACTGGCGGAAAATGTAAGACACCATTCACAGAGCTAGTCAATATTAGTTCTTTAACCATCTATGACAGTAAAAACTCTTAAGATGAGATTTTTTTTTTTCCTGAGCAAACCTATATGCTAACCTGTTTCTAACCTATTTTCTTTTTTAAAATACTTTTTCCCCCTTTCTTCATCTTTCTCCTCCCTGTTTGTTTTCATTTAGGGTCTGCATGCTGGGCAACCGCACCCTTTCATCAAGGCACATTGATATTTGCTCCAAGACCAAGGAAATTAACAACATGACAGTACCGTCAAAGTTATGGGGCTTCTTCTGTAATTCAAGTCAGTTTTTCAATGTCACCTGTGATGAATACTTTGTTCACAATAATGTCACTTCAATCCAGGGCATCCCTGGATTGGCTAGCGGTGTCATTACAGGTAAGTTGGGAGGGTTGGGGACACGTTTTTAAAATTTTTCTCTGAGGAGGGCTTTGCCATCTTGTTGAGCCTTTATTTTTATTTTTTGGTCATGCCACGCGGCTTGTGGGATCTTAGTCCCCCAACCAGGCGTCGAACCCACACCCCCTGCGTTGGAAGCATGGAGACTTAACCACTGGACCTCCAGGGAAGTCCCGAGACTTTGCCATCTTAGACTCATCTATTGTCCATCAATACTGCCACGGTGCCACTTCCCTTCTTAAGTTCAGCACACAGCTCTTAAATCAACATCTTTCTGCTTTTCTGTTAGTGATTTTATCCTTTTTCAGGACTCCCTTGCAGTGTTGTCTGCTAAAATATACTGCTCTTGAGTGCAGAGCTGAGCAAATGACTTTTTAACTTAAGATAATAAAGTATTCTCTGTGTTATTATAAAATTGCCAATGTTTTTCCCACGGTGACAGCTAGAATTATTTTAATGTCATCACATCCACATGTGTATTTTCCTAACTCATCTAAGTTTTTGAAATTCTCTGTAAGTGACTTCTATTTTAACTGTTTGGCCCACAAATTTCTTTGCATGTAAGCAAGTTTACACTAAGGTGTTCAAAATAGCATTGATGCCTAATTTTTTTTTAAAAAAATAGGTTTTATAAGGCATTCAGCTTTAGTTCGCTTAACTTTTACTAATTTGCATTGGTAAACTTAACTGCATTTGTATGTACCAAAGTATTTTGTCAAATTACATTTGAACCAGATGAGAAAAGGCATTAGGTTTTTATTTATGTGTACTTTGTTATATGATATATATATGCATATATCTGTGCTCATGTAGAAGCAAACATACCCTTAAAAGCTATATAAATGATGAATCTGACTTAGAATGTTGTTGGCTGGAACATTATCTAATTATGTCCTTTCCATAGTGCTGCTGCTTATATACCCTTTTTTCCCACTGCAGAGAATCTTTGGAGTAATTATATACCAAAGGGAGAGATTATTGAAAAGCCCTCAGCCAAATCTTCCGATGTCTTAGGCAGCTTAAACCATGAATATGTCCTTGTTGACATTACCACCTCTTTCACTCTTCTGGTGGGGATCTTCTTTCCCTCTGTCACAGGTAAGCAGATGGGCTGTTGCCTATTTCACAAACAATCAGACCCAGGGAGTGATTTTTCTTACGCAAAACTATATTCTCAGGATTCCCAGATTTGCCTGTAGTCTTTGATAGCAATGTGAATATCAAAAGTGTTTAGGAACTGAAGAAGTTAACGTGTTCTTTTTTCCTTTTCTAAAGGTATCATGGCTGGATCCAACAGATCTGGAGATCTGAAAGATGCTCAAAAGTCTATTCCCATTGGCACTATCCTCGCCATCCTGACTACCTCCTTTGTTTGTATCCTTTTGATGGATCCAGTCTGAGTCTTAGTCATAGGAACAGCTATAGAACAAGGGTGATCAGTATTTTTAACCTGGTAATAAAGATATCTGCTTTTTACCACCTCACTTCACATCGGATAGTCTACCCACCTCATCTCTAAAACTCAAGAAAGAATTTATGAGATAAGTGAATTTAGCCACTCATTTTACTGATAGAAGAAGTCTCCTGAGTGTTTATGTTCATATTAGAAGGTGAACATCAGTTTCCTTGACTCTCAATATCATAGATTTAAGCAATGTTGTCCTTTTTGGTGCATGTATTGAAGGTGTTGTTCTCAGAGACAAGTGAGTAGTTGATTTCTTTGTAACAAACATGTGTCTATCTTCCATTATGTCTGATCATCCCGTACAGCCCCAAGACAGTTATAAACTCAAAACCCACCTGAGATATATATCACAACTAACAATTAGAAAATACATGTATATAGGTCCCCCAAAGGGAGCTGTATAATAAGGGCCAGTAGGTTGTTGTATAAGATGCAGTGGATATAGGACTTCATAAAGCAGTGAATTTGTCTGAATAATGAGGACTTTTCTGTACAGTAAAGAGAGCTGTTGGAAAACTAACAGTAAAGGAAGGCAAATAATAAAAAATAAAAATTTAAAAATTGTTTCTGGCATCTCCTCTATGAGACATAAGTGTGTCTGATTGGCATTCTAAATAAAATCTTGAAGCTTACTTTCTTCATTTCCTTCTTGAAGGCTGCTGAGTGTTTTTCCTTTCATCTGTGAATACAAAAAAAAAGAAATGTTTTGCAAGAGATTTCTAGAAAACTCTTCCTCCAAAACCTGCTATATCTCTTCCCTTTTTCCCCATCTTGAGGAGTTAATAGCCTTACCATTCATCCCTTCTTCCATCAATTCCCTCATCCAGTTGGTTTCTAAGCCCTATAAATTTCACCCTTCATTCTTACTAGATCTCATTCTTTCCACTATTTTTATCCCCATCACTCTGTACAGGCCTTGAGGATCTTTTGCCTAGATTATTGTAATACTCTCCCTTTCAGTTTTACTACCTTCTAATCTTTCTTCTACACTGTCACCAGAATGATTTTTCTAAAACACAAAATTTGATCATAGAACCTTCCTGCTCAGAGCCTGCCAAAGCCCCTTAATGCCCATTACTTTGGTCTTGCCCTCTCTACCTCTTTCTGATCTCATCTCCCACCGTTCCCTCAAAAACCCCCTAAGCTCCAGCCATAACACAGAGTAAATATTGTTGTTTCAACTTTCCATCCAGCCACATATTTGTGGGTGCAATGTTATTTGCTTAAAATGGGTTACTCCCACCTGGCAGACTTATATTCATCCTCTAAGACTAGACTAAGTGTCCTTTATCCTGTGAAGCTTTCCCAGACTTGCGCAACAGATAACCGCTCCTCCCTTTGTTCAGCCACTCTACTGAACATGTTGTATTATTGCACTTAAAATACTGTATTGCAGCTACTTGATTTCATATTTCTGTCCCCTATACTAGATTGAATTCTTTGAGGACAAGAACTCTAACAGATGCTATATAAATATTGTTAACAAAAATAAATAAGTAACACAATTTATTATTTCTATATGATTGTGATTGAAAATGGGTTTATAGAGCTTTGGTAAATTATAATATAAAAATTATAGAAAGTGTAAATTAGAATACCACTTCAGAAAACTGTTGGACATTATCTCCTAAAGTTGAACATATGCATACCTGGTGAACCAGCAATTCCACTGCTAGGTATATCCAACACAAATGCATACATGTGTGCATTAAGAAGTGTGCACAAGGATTCTTTCAGTGGAATTGTTCTTATGAGGCAAAATCTGGAAATAGTCCAAATGTCCATCCACAGTAGAATGAATAAATTATGTATTCATGTGATGGAAAACTATACAGCAGTGAAAATTAATGAACCACAGCTACGTACCAAAAGAAAAAAAGAAAAATTTCACAATGTTGAATCAAAGAAACCAAACACAAAACATATATACTGTTTCATTTATTTAAAGTTTAAAAACAGGTAAAACTATATAGCATTAAAAATTAGGAGAGTGGGGAGGGAGAAAGAGCTGGTGAGTGGGCATAAGAGAGGATTTTGGGTGCTGGCAGTGTGTTCTGTTTCTTGACTGGATGTTTGCTTTGTGAAAATTTATTGAAATGTGCATTTAGTTTTTGCACATTTCTTTTGTGTGTGTGATACGTTGTAAAAAATCATTAAAACCATAAATAATTAAACAATGAGATGCCCTGTTTTACCCATCAAGTTAGCAGTGACTTAAAATTTTAATACTCAGAGCTGGTGTGAAATAGGTATGTGCCGTAAGACATGAACCTCATCTACTTCCAGTGGGAATAAATCCAGTATACCCTTTCTGGAAAGCACTTTGGTAGTGCTTTGAAATATTTAACAATGTTGATTCCTTTTGTTGCAGTTACTCCCTCTTAGGAATCTACCATAAGGAAAAAAAATTTGAAATGTGAATGTGGATATGTGCATAAAGACGTCAATCACAGTATTTTCTATAGTAGAAAATCAACACTAGAGGAATGGATAATGTAAATTATGATAATGTAAAGAAATGTGTAAAAATGTTTATTCATGAGTTTTTCATGACATAGGAAATTGCTTATAAGTTTAAAAAGAATACAGAAGTATAGGTGCAGTGTGGTCTCATCTATGTTTTTAAAAACATAGTAAACACTAAAATATGCAAGGTATGCAAAATGTTATCAGTTATGTTACGATTATGGATTTCCTCCCTGATTTTTTTGTATTTTTCTATACTTTTACAGTTTTTCTGCAGAGTAGATATTTTGATAATTTGAGGGGGAAAGCTTTAATTAAAGCTTAGCTTATTTTCTGGCCCTACAGGTTATTCTTTTTCTTAATATAGGCTACTAGTACCTTTTGATCAGATCTACCTACGTTTATATTTATTATTATTCATGTCTATCTCAATTTTGATTCTCTAAAAATTATAAATAGAAAAAATTGGGGGAATGCCAGTCTAGTTTTTTCGTCTAAAGTTATTTCCAGGTCAAATTTCCTCACTCTGATTTCTCTCCCAGGTTTGGGGATGCTGTGAAAGGTAATCTCGTGGTGGGTACCTTATCTTGGCCGTCCCCGTGGGTGATCGTTATTGGCTCCTTCTTCTCCACGTGTGGGGCTGGACTTCAGAGTCTCACAGGTGCACCGAGGCTGCTACAGGCTATAGCCAAGGATAACATCATACCCTTTCTGAGGGTGAGTGACCCTGTCCTATGCCCTCTTCCTGTTTTCCCAGGTTTTGCAAGAAACCGTGTGATCTTCATAAAGCTTAGGAATTACTGGATCATATAATATGAAGACGTGGCTTTTTAGCACAAGACCCTCTAAATCTCTAGTATGAGTTTACATGTGAGTGGGGTAAAGGCATTTAAAAGCTACCACAGTTGTAATACTATTATTTTGCAGAGCTGTGAAACCATAGCATAGAGGAATCAGGGAGCATTGACTCAAACCCTCCCCACACTCCTGTGTCTGATATTTCCCTTCTATGTACAGGTGTTTGGTCACAGCAAAGCCAATGGGGAACCTACCTGGGCTTTACTTCTAACTGCTGCCATTGCAGAGCTGGGAATCCTTATCGCCTCCCTGGATCTTGTGGCCCCAATTCTTTCCATGTAAGAGCCAGTTATTCTTTTCACTTACTCTTGCTTATGTGATGTATAATACATGTTGATTTCCATCAGGCATGTGACAGTAGTGATAACAGAGAGAACCAAGTATAGGTGTAACTTCACCTAAATAATAAATATTCCTGAGACTTTTCATGTAAGGCTAACTTCATAAGTTGTCATGGTTTCTTTCTACCTGCATAACTTCAGAAGTGCTTTGCCTTCATTTCTGATTCGTTATCAACTGATTGTAGCTTTTACTACTAGTCATTCAACTTATTGACTTATTGATGACTTACTACCAACCTGGCACTGGGCAGTATGCTGAGAATAAGCATAAGGTGGCTGAGACACAACCTCAGAGAATTGGTGGTAGATAGATAAAGAAACCAGTGATCCCTGTCTAGTGTGATGAGTACTGTGGTCAAGGTGAATACTGAGCACTATATGAGCTCCAAAGACTGAGACTCAGGAAAGGTTTTCTGGAAGAAGTGACACTTGTATCTTGAAGGAGGGCTGGCTATTTGCTAATCAGTGAAGGGGTCAAAGAGATCCCAGGCAGGGAATGTGTGTGAAGGAACCGAGAGATGAAATAGTGCAGCACATCTGGAGAAGTGAAGGTTTGGCTTTGATCGAGTGGGAGGTTGCGGGTTGGCGAGGTGCAGAGCGGGGAAATAGGTAGAGCCAGATCACAAAGGACCTGGAACTTCTACCTGAAAGTAGTGGGTAATCCTTTGAGAACAAAATTATCATGTTTCTGTTTCATAATGATCAATTCAGTATAAAAGAGAGGTTAGAAGGAGGCCAAAATTTAGCTGGGAGTGCCCGCTGGAAGCTTATTTCACTAATCCAACAAAGAAGAAATGAGAGCCTCAACTATGCTCATAGAAGTAGAGGTGGAAAGGAGGGGGGAAAAGTTTAGAGATTTGTAAATAGGTAGAATCCATAGGACTTGATAAGTGAATTTGGAACAAGGTTGAGTAGTGAAGAGGAAACCGGGATTGTCCCAAGAAGAACTGGGTAAAGAGTGGTTGTGTCTTTCACTGAGAGAGAACTTCGGAGGTCGAGCAGGTTTGTGTGGAGGTTAAGTTCCTCTACACCCTAGTCTTAATTAAAGGCCGGTGGCCTAGAGCAAAGGCTTAAATATATCAAATCTCTCTAGTTATCTAAAGTAACCTTTGAAGAATTATTTTACAGTAATAATCATTCCTCTTACTTTTTTTATTCTGCCAGGTTTTTTCTCATGTGTTACCTCTTCGTGAACTTGGCATGTGCCTTGCAAACATTACTTCGAACACCCAACTGGAGACCCCGGTTCCGCTACTACCACTGGTAAGTCGGCTTTTTTTTCTTCTTCTTCCCCACATTTGGAGGGAGCCCATCATTGAACTAGAAAACTAGGAGATTCTGAGTCCTTGATACAATTTTTTCTTGGTCACCCATTTCCTACTGTCTGTTGCAACTTCCAGTCTCACATGAACTTCCACCATCCTACTGTGGTTTTTTTTTTATATATGGTTTTATAATAACTTATAATACCCACTTGAGAATAAAGATCAAAACTGTGAAATAAATACTTCCAGGCTACTGTGTTCTTCAGGTTAAGACAACCTACCCTTTGCACATCTGATTGCCTGTTTCCCTCTTAGCTAAGCACTGGGCTTCATTTCTTTCCATTTATCCTCGTATTCGCATCAGTTTTCATCAGTTTTGATTCTCAGACTCCCTTCCTTAATGTGATTTCATTTAGTAGTTAAGAGCATGAGGGGACTTCCCTGGTGGTCCAGTGGTTAAGACTCCGCACTCCCAATGCAGGGGGCCCGGGTTCGATCCCTGGTCGGGGAACTAAGATCCCACACACCTCAACTATTGAGCCCTCGCGCTCTAGAGCCCACGTGCCGCAACTACAGAAGCCTGCGCGCCACAACGAAGACCCAGCCCAGCCAAAATTAATTAATTGACTAATTTTTTAAAAAAAATTTAAAAAAGAGTATGAGCTATGGAGTCAAATGACCTGAGTTCAAGGGTCAGCTCTACTATTTCCTAGTTTGTAACTTTCAACAAAGCACATAACCACATAAAATTTCATTTTATTCATTTGTAAAATGGGACTAATAGTATTATCTATCTCATAGGGTTGTTTTGAGATAATGTAAAGTGCTGAGCACAGTGCCTGTACACTGTGCAGGTACACAGTAAAGCTCTCAATGAAATGTTGCTACAGCTGCTGCTGTTGTGTTCACGTCTCCTCAGTCCTAAAGGAGCCACCACATTTTTAGCTACCATCCCATTTCTTTCCATTTCTTTTTTGCCACAGCTAGAAGTTCTTTAATATGCCCTGTATGTACCTGTTGCTACATTCCTCTTTGCTGACTTTTTCCTTGATCCCTTTCTAGTTTCACTTACCAGTGGTGGATAGTGATGTAACCTTTATCTGGCACAAATTTAGATCTTCAACTGATCTTAACACCTCTAATCCTCTTTCTAGCTTTAACTTTAGTTAAACGTTCATTATGGGACTTCTCTGGTGGTGCAGTGGTTGAGAGTCCGCCTGCCGATGTAGGGGGCACGGGTTTGTGCCCCAGTCCGGGAAGATCCCACATGCCACGGAGCAGCTGGGCCCGTGAGCCATGGCCACTGAGCCTGTGCGTCCCGAGCCTGTGCTCCACAACGGGAGAGGCCACAACAGTGAGAGGCCCGCATACCAAAAAAAAAAAAGTTCATTCTGAACTTTTTTTGTGTTACTATTTTGCTTTTGTTACTTTTTCTCTTTCTCTTTACACTCTGTATTTTCATTCATTAGATCCTAATTTTCTCCAGATTAACAACTGTTCTATTTTTTCTTTGAAATTTGTCATACAACTAAGTTCATTCTGTACAGAAAACAACTTCAGTAAGCATAGTTGTTTACCTATTTGATCAAAACAAGAATTTCATTATTTTCTTCCAAGTTCCTTATGTAAAGTAAGGAAACTAATGGGAGATTTTTTCCAGTGGGTTCTGCAGTTGTGTTAATAAATGTTCATAAAGTTTTTAGTCATATTCATGTGAAATACTTTTTTTTTTAAAGATCAAAGAGTTATTAATAATTTTGACTACATGTCCCATCTTTGCTTTCCCATGTAGGTATTAATTGTCCTCATAACTACAGATGACTTTCATAGCATCCCTATTCATTTATATGTTCTTCCAGCATGGGAAACATCAGCATTAAGGGTGGTTCAGGGCTCAGTGCAGATCTATTGAATGTTGCCAGTCCATGATAAGACAACTATAAAAACTGAGAAAAAGCATTTAGAAACTTTATAGCAATTTGACATTGTCACAGCATCCAAGCATATAACAGTTTTTCTAGTAATTCATTTTCTATTGCATTTTACAGAAGTTCTATCTGCAACATATTGGAATTTTTAAAAATAATAATTTCTCACCAGTTTAAGAAGCACCTTTGGCACAGACTTCTTTTTCAGCTGCTTAGAAAAGCATCAAAAAAAATTCTTTCTGTTTTTAATTTTCTAGGGCCCTCTCTTTCATGGGAATGAGTATCTGTCTGGCTCTGATGTTTATTTCTTCCTGGTATTATGCCATCGTAGCTATGGTAATAGCTGGTATGATCTACAAGTACATCGAGTACCAAGGGTAAGTCTGGATATACAACCTTGATTGCTGCTAAAACTATCGAAACTGGCTAGTTTGGTTGGAGCCAGCCTGGTGAAAATTGCATTAGGGATCCAGGAAACTTCATTCATCTGTACCCAAATTTTGTACCCCTAATTCTCTTAGTCACCTTACAGACATAAGCCATTGATCATAAAGGGAACCTGTTGAGAAAGTATGAATGGATCAGGGAAAAGATAACTAAAAGGATGTACTGAAATAGTAATGATAGTATTAAAGTATACTTTGCCATACAGCAGAAACTAATACAACATTGTAAATCAACTATACTCCAATAGAAATCAAAAAAATAAAATAAAATAACCAACAAGGACCTACTGTATAGCACAGGGAACTCTGCTCAATACTCGTATAACTGAATCACTTTGCTGTACACCTGAAACTAACCCAACATTGTTATCAACTATACTCCAGTACAAAATTAAAATTAAAAAACAAAGTATAACACAAATATAAATATCCTTGCTTATCTCTTCAGGCAAGGAATTGTACCTGAAATGGAAAATAAGTTAGTCCTGAATAACTTTGTAACAACTAAGGCTTCACTAACAACGTCCCAAAATTAGGAATAAATAACGCTCTGATCTAGAGGATTACATTGAGTTTTGCTTTCTCTGCAATTATTTTTGAAATAATTTAAACTTGGGATCCGTAGTCATTTCCTAATCCAAATTGCTATTTTACATTATTGCTTTTGAATAGTTACATCGCAGGACAAGTTAAGTGACCCTTCCAGCCTTTATTCTGAACGGTTGTGCAGTGCAGTGTGTTGGTGAAGGGTAGTGTTGATCTGCTTACTGTGGGTTCATTATGTTAATAGAGAGCATCATATAAATAATGAATATGAGCTTTAATATTCTACCTTGTGTGTATGTTACTTTTAGATAAAGAAAAAGTAAACTGTTTTTTGAGACTGTACTTATGGTTTAAATCTGTCTCTGCTCTTTTCTCCTCTTTCTCCCAGAGCTGAGAAAGAATGGGGTGATGGTATCCGCGGGCTGTCCCTCAGTGCAGCCCGATTTGCTTTGCTTCGGCTGGAAGAAGGACCTCCACACACTAAAAACTGGAGGTAAAAAAACCAACAGAGCTTAGTGGTGTTTGGCACAGAGTTACCACACAGAAAGGTGTGCTTCATTGATTACAGGATGAGGAAATCATGGGGCTCAAGGAATTCATGAAACGGACATGCTTTGACTGATTCTAAATTCTTGATCCTCTGTTCCCTTTTATTCATGTGCTATATGATCTAGACTTCTACCATTTTCATTCTTCCTTCAAGACTGATCAATTTGAGGTAATACTGGGAAAATTCAGAATAACTCTGCAGCCGCACCTTATCATTTTCTCTAATCTCTTCCTTCTGTCAAAGTACGTGTTTTATACAGATCTCCTGAATTAAAGGGTAGGCTTGTCATTCTGTCCCCAGACCCAGAGTGTTTTCTCATCCCACCCCCTTCCCCGCCCACCTCTTTACAGGCCTCAGTTGCTTGTACTGCTGAAACTAGATGAAGACCTACATGTCAAGCATCCTCGCCTCCTCACCTTTGCTTCACAGCTTAAGGCAGGAAAGGGTCTCACTATTGTGGGCTCTGTCATCGTGGGGAACTTCCTGGAGAACTACGGTGAAGCTTTAGCTGCTGAGCAGGTAAGAGTCAAGGCTTATTGACCTAGTGGAATTTAGCTTATGGTTTTGTGCTGTTGAGTCATGAGAGCTCGGATTTCTAAATTAATCCCTTTCCTGAGTGATCTAGGAGGTGTCCTTCATAGTGCTGACTTGAATGGTCATATTCTCCCAAATACTAAGATGAACCAGAAGATAATAATTTATTCTTCTCATTTAAAAAGCATTTCTAAACTATAAGATTATCAAGGCTAAGCACTATTTCCAAATAGACTCCAGACATTGACTCAGCCCTGAGAGAAGTCATGTAAATAAATCATCCCTTGAACTATGGTGATGGTTCCTCTCAATCTTGTGACAACAAGGAGCGATGAGCACATTTTCTTCCTCTTTGCTAGTCTACATGGTGCCATGACCAAGATTCCTTTGCTACTTCTGATTAGCTTATGGGATATTAAAGTTCTTCCTGAAGAAGAAAGTAGATTTCACTCTATTATAAATGATAGAACTCACCCTGGAGAAATTTCAGTTACATTTCAAAAATTTTACTGGATTTCATTTTGGAATGCTTTGAAACCCTAGAACTAGAAATGCTGAAGAAACATTAGTCCAGAATGATCATAAAAATAAATAAAAAGCACGGTATTGGAAATCAAGAGACCCCGATTATCCTAGCTACACCGCTGACTTAATCTGTGCCTTTGGGAAAATCATATCCATTTTCCACACCATTATTCTCTCTACCTTTCTACCAAGAGCGTGAAGTAAGACTAAATGAAATATTATCTCCAAACTGGCTTGAATAAATAAAAGAATAGTAAAACAAATACAAGTGTCGCAAGTAATCACCATTAAAATATCAAAAGGGATGTGGAAGTAGCAAAAACAAAAAAGAAAACATACCTGAGACAATTCTAAACTGAAACTGAATCGTCATATTGAATTTCTAGTAATATGAGTCAGGGCAAGACTGGGACTAAGGAAGGAAGGAGATTATGTTCACACTCACCCTGGGCAATTAAGAAGGAATATTGAATATTCACTTTGTGACGATCCCTATTCTCAATTTGCTTGGTATGTTAGAAGGAAAAGCAGAAGAGAGGAAGAGGTAGAGGACCTATCAGTACATGTAGACAACTACCTACATATGTAGTAAGCACTTGGCAAGTGAAAAAGGCAAAGGATAATAAAATTTCATTGGGATAAATGAAACTTTTTGAATTGTTCTGTAGAAGATAACAATCTTATGCAGAGTTTGGAAGGGGGAGGGGAATATAATACGGAGAAGGAGTAAGAAGTTAAAAGACCCAGGATGAAGTAATTCAGTGTTGAGATTCTGTCTCTCTTTCAGACCATAAAGCATCTAATGGAGGCAGAGAAGGTGAAAGGATTCTCCCAGCTGGTGGTGGCCGCCAAGCTGAGAGAGGGCATTTCCCACCTCATCCAGTCATGTGGCCTTGGGGGCATGAAGCACAACACAGTGGTGATGGGGTGGCCAAATGGCTGGCGCCAGAGTGAAGATGCTCGAGCTTGGAAGACTTTTATTGGTACAAAACATTTCTCATACTATCCTGAGGTCTCAAATAGAGGATATACCCTGACCCCAGCCTCCTAAAGTAGAGACGATGTCCTTGCTGAAGCATAGTCTCATAAGGGCACCTAAATAACTACTACTAGTAATAACCTGATTCTCTTCACCCCCTCCAGCCTTACATAATGTTCATCAGTTGTTTATCTTGCCAAGTCTTACGTTAGGAATTATCTCTGAAATTGCCATATTTCCATGTGTGATCTCCCACATTGACATTCTCACAGGAATTGGAAGAATTGTTCTTCAGCATCAAGATCTCCCCAATTCACATATCCCCCACTTAGAAATGTAGTAATCAGAATACACCTAGTAATGTAAATCATAGTTCTCAGTCTAATTCTGTTAGCTATTCAAATTTTTCTTAATGATTTTCGTTACTTGATTTGGTATAGCCTACTGTGTAAATAGGACACCTTGCTCAAATAACTGTCAATGGGCATTATCCTTTCTTTGCTGACATGGTAGGAAGCAAGGTAAGCCTAAGGATTCATCTCTGCTTATCCTGATTCTCTCTGTTTTCTCCCTAGGCACAGTTCGAGTGACAACTGCTGCCCATCTGGCCCTGCTGGTGGCTAAAAACATCTCCTTCTTTCCCAGCAATGTGGAGCAGTTTTCTGAGGGCAACATTGATGTGTGGTGGATCGTGCATGATGGGGGGATGCTCATGCTCTTACCATTCCTACTGAAACAGCACAAGGTATTTTCACACCTTTTAAAAAACGTCTCTCTCCCTTAACTTCTGTCCTGGTTCACTAGACAGAGAGTCTTCCTTTCATTCTATAGTGTTGGGGCTTAGAAAACTTGGAGATTATTCTTGGCTTTCCATGATTCCAGATTCAACCTTATAAGAAATAGTTCTTTGTAGTTGATACCTATCTCCAAGGGAAATTCAGCAAATTAACAGAGCTCCATATGAAGCCTTGGAAAAAAACATTAATAAGTGAATTTAAAAAAAAGAAAAAGACCGGGGCTTCCCTGGTGGCACAGTGGTTGAGAGTCCGCCTGCCGATGCAGGGGATAAGGGTTCGTGCCCCGGTCCGGGAGGATCCCACATCCGCGGAGCGGCTGGGCCCGTGAGCCATGGCTGCTGAGCCTGCGCGTCTGGAGCCTGTGCTCCTCAACGGGAGAGGCCACAGCAGTGAGAGGCCCGCGTACCGCAAAAAAAGAAAAAGACGAAAATACTGGAAACCTAAGAGGGTGTGTGTGTATCTTATACATATATATGTTCATCCTTTGGTAAGACTGAAATTTAAAATAGTAAATATTATAGTCTGCACAGTGTCATCAGTATGCTATCTGAGTAAAGCACCCTCTTAATGTATCATGTGCCATCTTTTCCGTTTTGCCAGTTTTTTTCTTGTTATGAAATAAGAACTCCTTTAAACTATATTTTATGTGTTCCTTGGTCAAGCTTTTGCCCTAACAATAATATAGCAAGTGAGTAAAATAAATAATAATATGGCAAGTAAGAATCTAGGAACATATACCCTGAAACTGTACAAGATTGTTCTAGGCAAAAGTGCCATTTATTTTAAGAAATAACTCTTTTTTGCCTTCTTGCATTTAATTTTCCATGTGTATGTGGTACTTTCTCAGGTGTGGCGAAAATGCAGCATACGGATCTTCACAGTAGCCCAACTAGAAGACAACAGTATTCAGATGAAGAAGGACCTGGCCACCTTCCTGTATCACCTTCGCATTGAGGCAGAGGTGGAAGTGGTGGAGATGGTGAGAAAGCTGAGTTTGAGATCAGAGAGACTACCCTGTCATTCTAGAACCTCTTCTGGTTTGGAAATTTCTTCAGCTGCAAATGTGGATTAATTCCTTAGTTCCAACAAAACTCTCATATGTTGATCTAGATAAGTACAATGCATATGTGATGTGTATTTAGTGGTAGTTTTTAATTTTTGCTTTCCTGTTTGTTTGTTCCATAGCCCTTCTATTTCTGCTAGATTCTTATCTGCTTAATACAGTTTTATTAAGTTTCAGTTCATATATTCGTGCTAAAATCACACATAGCTTTTTTAAAAAAATAACCTGTAAGTATTAAAAAAAATAAGACTGGGGTTTTTGTTTTGTGTTTCAAGGAAACACATATGTCATGGTTAGATTGTGGAAAAGACTCAGGGCTCTGGATTTGATCTACAATCCACAATATTATTATATTTACGTAGCTCAATGACTGAACAAAAACTAAAACCTAGGTTGATATTGTGATACTTTCTCTGGTGTAATTTAGTGAGTGGAAATGAAAATATATGGTTCTTTCTCTTTTGTGCTTATTGCCTACTCCGTGTGATATCTACGGCAGCATGACAGTGACATATCAGCTTATACTTACGAGCGCACCCTGATGATGGAGCAAAGGTCCCAGATGCTCCGGCACATGCGACTATCCAAAACAGAGCGGGACAGAGAGGTGAGATTTTGCTGCACTGACCTAATCCTGGCCCTGTGAAGTCTATCACTGAAAGGGATGATACTATTGTTCTCAGCATGACAGATTCTTTCCCGATTGCTTTATTGGTTATTCCACTATAACCACATTTCAAAATAATTAAAGATGAAGCATGAGAGAAAATTGGGTATAGAGTTATAGCTATGTTGGGCCTTCCTCAGGCACAGCTGGTAAAAGATCGGAATTCAATGCTACGATTGACCAGCATTGGCTCTGATGAGGATGAAGAGACAGAGACCTATCAGGAGAAGGTGCACATGACCTGGACGAAAGACAAGTACATGGCATCCCGGGGGCAAAAGGCCAAGTCAATGGAAGGATTCCAGGACCTACTTAACATGCGTCCGTAAGTTTTCCTACTCACAAGCTTATCACTTAACATAGTATCCTAGTTAGTGCCCTGCCTGAATACACAGGACAGAATCTAGTCTTCATTTCACCCCAAATCCAGCCATCTTTCTATTGTTTGCCTATGCCTATCAGCTACCAATTAACACTGTACATAAGCTAACCATCTTTCTTCCTGTCCATACTGTGTTCCTGGTATGAAACAAGCAAAATGTAGAATGAGAAAACCATGATATCAATATTATAAGGCAATCAATCATTTGTTCATTACATCAATCATAGTTAAAGCAAAAAATCTCTAAAATCTCAAGTTTTTTAAAGCTGACGATATGCCTAGTTTTCTCTTTGCCTTAACCCATCTGTTTCTTCCCCACCACGCTTCCCTTCCAGGGACCAGTCCAATGTGAGGCGGATGCATACAGCAGTGAAGCTCAATGAGGTTATAGTTAACAAGTCCCATGAAGCAAAGCTGGTTTTGTTGAATATGCCAGGGCCACCCCGAAACCCTGAGGGTGATGAAAACTGTATCCTTTCCGACAGCAAAACTTCCAGTAGGGAAAATCTTAGCCTGTGTTTTATTTATTTATTTATTTATTTTGGCGGTATGTGGGCCTCTCACTGTTGTGGGCTCTCCCGTCGTGAAGCACAGGCTCCGGATGCGCAGGCTCAGCGGCCATGGCTCACGGGCCCAGCCGCTCCGCAGCATGTGGGACCTTCCCAGACCGGGGCACGAACCCGTGTCCCCTGCATCGGCAGGCGGACTCTCAACCACTGCACCACCAGGGAAGCCCTTAGCCTGTGTTTTAGATGGGACACTAAGTAACTGTAAAAGTCATTGTCTATGACTTCCTCTCTCGAGGAGGGAAGACTGTTCAAAGTCTCAGGCAAGGATACTTACTTAGTGATACTACTCTCCTTCAGGGGAGTTGGGTATAACATGTTCTCTCTGAACCCTAAAGAGACTTTTTTAGGTGGCATATTTGCAACATGACTTTTAACATTCAGTGTATAGAACCCTTTCTGACAGTCCTAGAGATGGAACACCCACAGCCCTTCTCCTTTCCAGGCTCTTCCCAGTTTGCAAAGCCTCTCTCTTTTGGATGGAGTTAGGGGAGAGGCAGTTGAAGTGGAATCTCCTCTGAGGGGGAAAGATAAGGTTCTTCTTCATACCCTAATTCCAGGATTGTTTTTCTGGGACCCCTTCAGCACTGCAATGGCACAGACTGGTCCATTCCCACCAGTACCATTAAGGAAAAGAGGCTGAAAGAAAACAAAGAGTAAATCAACTATATTTGAAGAAAAAAAGAAAAAAGAACTGGCAGAAAAAAATCTAACTTGAGCAGGTTCACTTGGAAATTACTGGGATTCTCTCCTGGAATCTTACAAGCTGCCCTGTTGTGGCTTTTTCTTCTTTCTGCCTTATTTGCTATGTAGTAATAACACATTACTTCTGGGTTTCCCCCATTTTAAAATAACATTTAGAAAAAAAATCTAACAAATGGGAGAGAGTCTTGTATTATTTATGCAAAGAGGCTAGATCCCCAGATTACTTCAGAGTTCGACTGAATCCAGAGTTCAGACTTCTCCAGTTCTGAATATATAATAATTAAAACAAGCATGTTGATTTTACAGCTTTGTAGTCAGATAAACTCAGATTATCATGATGCCAGGTTTTAAATTGTGCTCTTCTGCCTATTTGTCTCCTTGACAAATTCTGAAGACATGGAGTTCCTAGAAGTGCTCACTGAAGGACTAGAGCGAGTCCTTCTTGTCCGAGGTGGTGGCAGTGAAGTGATCACCATTTATTCATAATCTACCCCTGAATGACTCTGCTGGGCCTCACCTTTCCAAAAAGGCTTCCATCCTCCATGGAAGTGCCAGCTCTTTACTACCACTTCCATCAACTAGAGACCTGTGTTCTGTGTACATCACGCTGAACTCTTAATGAGGTGAGCCTCAAGTGCTTGTGCAGAAAAGTACAAACAGATCTGCTCTTTGCTACCATATGACCTGCTGTCCTTAAAGAAGAAGCAGATATTCCCTCAACCTCAGAACAATGCTCAAGTCCTACAAGCCATGCCTGTACCAGATAAAGGCAAGTTAGAATTAACAAGCTAAACCAATAAAATGAATTGGCAAAAGGGATGCTAGAAATTCAACTGAAGACAAAAGACAAGTACACATCTGACATCAAAGATGAGTCTCAGAAGTCACGATTCAATGATGACACACCATGGGGGTAACAGCCAGAGAGACACAGCCTCATTATACTAAAGAATTCATGGCCAAGTACACGGGGAGCTAACATCTTTGTGGAGACATCCGTGGCAAGCCAAGATGAAAATTTTTGTCAGTGTATCCACTGCTCTCCAGGACTCTAATTTTACATTAGGGTACTAATATATAAAAACGGAAACATGAAACTGCAGCCCCTACTTCCTCCAGAATAAGATTCCCCCAAAATATGTTTAAGTACACATACTGTGTTGTATATTTCAGCTGTTTCTCAAACCCATCCTGTGGTTAGGATTGTAATACAGGCACTGTTACCGTGGAAACTGTTTTTTAAAAGGTTGAGTAAAAATTATTTCTTTCAGGTTCTTTGCAAATGGACAAACTAAGCGAACTCCGAAAGGTTGCTATCAAGATTTACATAAATGCAGTCTGTGGTTACCTATGAGACATGGGCAAAATATATAAGCTGTTATCTAAGAAATGCAGATGATGACGCATATTGACCAATAGGTTCTCCTTTCCTTCTCCCTTTTATGCCCTCTGGATTATAGGCACAGATCAAAAATCATAAGAACAAACACACTAGGAAGACTGGCTAAAATCCTTTGCTAAAACCTTTGGATTATCCTTCAAAGGGAGAATCCAGCAGTGGAATTCGAAGTTTATAGCCATACTCCTTCCACAGTGCCAAAGTTACTGAGCTGCTGCTACTCTTCTTACCTACTTCACTGAAGTGGCATGCAATTGGCATTGGCCTGTTTCAAGAAACTTATTTCATTAGGAAACCTGTGGACTCATTCCCAAAGCCAGCCATAATGAAGACTTGAGGGCATGCAGCTCAGCACTAAGTATGAGCATTTTTTTTTTCCTTTCAATTTTATTCTTCATTTTGACTGCAGAAACTTGGATCTGAACTAAGAGATTACCCAAGGTAACAGTCTTCTATTTCAGTTTTGTTTTCAGAAAGCTCTAAATGTGTCAAGGAAATGCTTCTGCAAGCTTAGCTTTTTATTTGCTAACTTAATGATCACAAAACACCTGCTTTTCGAGCATAGGGAAACTGCCCTGTGTGACTAAGTGGTAATTTCATATATGTGAAATCTTCATTTATTGTACAGGATAGATAGGGTATTCCAAGAAACTATCTTGCCTGTATTCATGTCTGCTTTTGAATTTCATTTTATTAATGATAAATAGTACCACTCTTTCATTACCAGTAGGATATGGAGCAAGCTGACTTGCTCCGTAGTCTGCAGACTGTTCATCTGACCCTTATGGACAGAGGAGAAGAACCCTTCAATATGGCTCAAGAAACTGAGTCATTTTGGTTTATTCCCTTTGCTCTTCTCTCAGTGTCCCAGCCCAGTCAGGTAGCAAAGCAGACAAGATCTTTTAAGTCTTTTTTTTCTGCTGCTTCCTGCAGAGGGTAGAAGCATTGTTTACAACTTTCACTGCAACACTCCATTGCTAAGTTGAGTCCAGCAGTAGTGGAACAGGTACCCTAGGACCCAAGCTATTAAAAGACCCATGCTCTAAAGGTCATCTTGCCCAGGAACTCCTTTACATTTACACAAAACCTCTGGCCAAATGGACAGAAAGTAAGGTTAGTTTTAGAAGAGTTTTTGTGGCTGGAGCTCTGTAAGAATCCTTTAAAGGGATAATGGAATTAGTGGCTACTAATATAGCCCCTACTTTAGGCCCTAAAACACAATCAGTGTTACATGGGGAAGTGGTTATTAGGCCAGATTTAAACTCATCTCTGTCTAGAGCATTTCATGTCTATGTGTTGCTTATGTTGTCTGCAAACTGTCTTGTCTCTTTTAATCACTGCAAATAAAGCAATACCGAAAACTTGATGAGAGAATGCACCTTAGGGGAAGGGGCTTTGTGTTTCAAGCAGGAAGAGAAAGGAAAGACCTCCTCCTGCCTTTTGAAGAGATCCAGCTTTTAAGTCTTAGCTATGACTTTACCAGGGCAGGTTATGACAATATTCATTTTCCAACTGCTGGCCCTCTGCCTTTTATAGCTATCTTAAAAGCTTAAGTTTGAGTTGCAGCATCTGTCTGACAGGTGCCAAGTTCCTTTTGGCAGGGGAAAGATCACTACTTTGTATCTTCCGTTGCCTCAGATTCCTGTGGCCCCCGAGATCCCGCCAATCCTCATTCTCCCTAAACATGTTAAAAATCCATTTTTGTGGCTAACTAAAGTAGCAATTACACTGTAAGCATTTTATGTGCTTTTTTGGTCTGGTTTATTTTTCTTTCCATCATGTATAATCTGAATTCAGCATTAGTTTCTCACATTTCTCTAGTATCTCCAACAGAATTATGTCCCAGCTTGTGTTAAATAGAAGTGAAATATTAAGGAGGATAGATTTAAGGGAAACTTGTGCAACTTTTTTTTAAAGCACTGTTCGCAACCATTTAATTTATTAAAAGGAGATGCTGCTGTAGTTCTTGATTTATCTGCAACCACCCTTTTGTTTACAGAGTTATGGTTTTATTTGTTGTTTTGCTCTCTACTGGAAACATAAATAAAGTTTTCTACCTTATTTTCAGTCAAGAGTCGTGGTATAGTTCTTTTGTGTTTGTAGTGATATGTACATTGTCTTTCTAGGATTTGTCTCTTCACCATGGAGAAAAGAGACCAAAAGGTCCTTTTCAGTGAGTGATAATGTTAAGGGTTGGTATGCTGAGGAGGAGCCACTGGGCATGAAGGCGGCTGTAAATGAGCTCCAGATACATAGGCACCACATGCTTATTTCTCTGGTTCACAAAAGCAGTCCTCCTCCACTGAACTCCATCCTCTGAAAAAAGAAAAAATGAATAGGTTAATGGTGAATGAGAAATAACTGAAATAACTTCCTGAATCAAGTACTTAATACTTTAATCATAAGCTCTACTTTGCTTTATCTTTAAAATATAACAACTTCCAAACTCCTAATGGATCTTATTTCTTAAGAAATGAGCTCTAAGAGCAACTGTGATCCCCCACCATCAAATGGATCAACTATTTACTGTACATTACATCTGCCCCAAATTTAACTTTCCTTTTGCCTTACCTCAGGGGGCTCAATGAAGGCTAACCAATCTGATGCATGTGTAGGCAAGAGTCCCATTGACTGGCACTTATAAACAGCCAATGCCAAACCCATAAGGTTCCCAATGAGATACACCAAACCCTGAAGAAACTTCTGGCTTGAACTTTCTAGCATCTTGAAAGCTGTTGGGGTAACAGAAAGTGTCAAAAACCAAAAAAACTTTTTTTTTTCAATACGAATCAGGCCATATATTAATATATATATAACACAGACAGTCCAGTCCCATAGTAAGAGTACAAATAGAACCATTAAAGGTCAACAAAAACCCACAAGCACCATTTCCTCCTCCATGCCACCACCACTGCCATCACCACCCTGCACACACTCCTACTGCAATTAGCCAAGAGCTAGCTGTGCCAAAGACTTCCCGTGATGGGTTCTGCCGAAGAATTTGCCTTTTGATTCTCAAAGCTCAAGGAGGATTATTATTTCAAGAATACTTACTGGCTGAAATGGCCATAAGTGCCTGAATGGGTCGCCAAGCCATCATACACACCATCATAGTAGGGAAGATGGAGATAGTATTGCCTGCCATGTACATGATGAAGAGGTTCATGGGAATCTGTTTCAGGGGACCCAAGGCAATGTCCCAGCAGCGCTAAAACAAACACAGTTTTAACCTCTGATCACTATCCTCAGTCTTACGTTATATCACTGGTGTTAAAGTCAAATGAACACAATTCCCGACTTTGTGCTTCTGAGTGAGCTGACTCCTCAATTCCACCACCTCTGCCCTTCTCCCACTTTGCCACAGGAAGCTTGCTCTTCTAAAGATAAGGCATCTTCACCATTTCTGTTTTTCCCCATGGGTTTCCCAAATACCATTTTCCCCCAAGACTTGTGGTAAAGAGCAGACTTCCCTATTTTTGTTCTTCTGCATCTATCACTGGCCCATCTACAACTGAAGAACTAGATAAATCCACATAGTGGTAGATTAGCATACCTCAATAACTAATAGAACAAACAGACAAATCCAGATATAAAAGATCTGAATGGTATTATTAACCCAATTGACAAATAGAACACTGCACCCAACAGGTGCAGAAATCACATTCTTTTCAAACACACATAGGACATTTACAAAAACTGACACTGAGCTGTGGAGAAAGTGTCAATAACTCTCAAAGAACTCCAATCATACAAAGCATATTCTTTAATTACAATGCAATTAAGCTAGGAATCAATAACAAAAAGATAACTAGAAAATCCCCTATGTGTTAGAGTGAAGATGTGCTCTAAATGATCCACTAATCAAAGAAGAAATTTCCGTGGAAAACAAATATTGTTAACTGATAACAAATACCATATATTAAAACTGGGACACAGAGCTTTGAGAAAGTTACACCCTTAAATACACATTAGAAGACTAAATAAAAGTAAACATCTATTTCAAGAAGAAAAAATAAATTAAACCCAAGGAAATGGAAAGGAAGGAAATCAAAATGAGAGCAGAAATTAATGAAATTTTCTTTAAATCAACAAAGCCAAAGGTTTTTTCGAAAAGATTAAGAAAATACTGGTGAGCCTGATGAATAAAAAGCAAAATATTCAACAGCAAGAATGAAAAAAGGGACATCTCTATAGGTCTTCCATATATTAAAGTGATCAATATTATGAATTTGGGGGAAATGGCTAAATTCCTAGAAAAAATAACAACTTACCTAAATGGCATAAGAAGTTGGAAATTTAAATAGCCTTATAAATTTAAGAAACTCTATAATTAAGCCCAAATGGTATCCCTTGGCAAATTCTTAACATTTAAGGAAAAAATAAAGCCAATCTTATACAAACTCAGAGAAGAAAAAATGAATTCATTACTGTAATATGGGGCCTCATAAATACCGAAACCTGCCAATGACATTATGAGAAAAGTTTACAGACCAGTATCACTCATGAACCTAAATGCAAAAATCCTAGAGGCTTCCCTGGTGGCACAGTGGTTAAGAATCCGCCTGCCAATGCAGAGGACATGGGTTCGAGCCCTGGTCCGGGAAGAGCCCACATGCCACAGAACAACTAAGCTCATGCGCCACAACTACTGAGCCTGTGCTCTAGAGCCCGTGAGCCACAACTACTGAGCCCACGTGCCACAACTACTGAAGCCCGCATGCCTAGAGCCTGTGCTCCACA